TGGCATGGTGGTTGGGGGGTGGCTGGCATGGTGGTAGGGGAAGGGGGGCTGACACAGTGCTGGTGGTGGTAAAGGGGAAGGGGCTGGCAGGGTGGTGGTGGTGTGGGGTGTTGGGGGGTTGGTTGCAGGTGAGATGGGATGCAGAGCTCATATGGGGAGGTTTGGTGGTGTGTGCTCCCACCACCGCTCTTTTGTAGTTTGTTGTAATCATCCTGCTGAAGCTGGCTTGTGCAAATCTTTGGTCTTCCCCTACAGTAAGTCATAAAACCTTGAGTATATTTAACCTGCAAAAGGTAAGGCTTTTCCCCATAGTTCTCCTTAGGGTAATGGGAGGACACAAACTAGTGTCCTCCCGTCACCCTAAGCTCAGTATACGGCGAGCTGCTGCTCGCGGTATACTGAGACGCCGCAGCTGAAGCGGGTCCCGACAATTATGCCGGGATCCGCCCAGCTGCGTGACTGACAGCTGGCTCTGCCTATCTAGAGGCAGAGCCAGCTGTACCCGCCCCATCCGTTCCGCCAGTCAGCGCTGGCGGATCGGAGCGGGGAGGGGGGAATCCAGCCCCTCCCCTGTCACGGCTCTCTGCCGTGACAGGATCGAGAAGTGAGCGAACGCCGGTATGTGTTCGCACACCTCCCGATCTACTGAGCCGACCTGTGACAGTCTCATTGTCACAGGTCGGCTAGAACTATGAGGTGAGTGAAAAGCACTCACCTCGTAGTTCTTCTCTGTCCCAAACCTAACACAGGGCCACCCTTCAACACCTTTGAAAGTGGAACCCCCTTTAAACCCAGCATAAATAACATATTCAGTAAGCCTGAGTTTTCTAAACTTTTCTGTATCTGCATTTTACAAAGCTGCATTTAAGTCGGTCTATAGAGCAAACCCATTGTGTCTTGTTTTGTCTCCAGACCATTTACTTTCATACATCCTTGAACGATCCTAACATTGTTATTGTGGCTGAAGTGATCGCTATATCCAAAAAGAGAGATGGAACCAGGCAGGAGTTATCATGCGGTTTTGGGCTCATCCGGCTCCTTATCAACCAGCCAGATGAAGACACAGCCAGTCAAAGCAAAAGGTAAATGTAATTTCCACTATTATTTTTTTTTACATTATTTCCTTGCCTTTTAGTGTATGTATAGTCTTTTTAATGTTAGGTATACATGTAGAAAAAGTAATCTTATCAGTAAGTAGTCTATTTATAAACAATTTGCAGAGTTATTTGCCCTCTAAATCTCTGTGAATGTTTATTTTGTGCGAATAGATGCAAAAATGAAGGTTTATTTTCTTTACAAGTCTAATGTAATGTGATATGTAATACCACATTATGACCACTAGGTGGAGCGGAGAAGGATACAAAATAAATACTCTGCTTCTCTACTTCATCTAGTGGTCATGCACCAGTATTACATTAACTACATTCGAAATTACATTAGACTTGCAAAGATAATATACTGAGAATGTTTATTTTGACATCTATTTGCACAAAACAAACATTAACCGGGCAAATGGCTTTGTGAATTGTTAACAAATATACCTTGAGAAAACCCCCACTCATTTAGTATATCTCTGCAATACAAGCCCATTTTATCCCTCTAAAAAAGCAGCAAGCACAGAAAAAGACCTGCTGATCTTCCAGGAATCTTGTGAGCTACTAACTTCCTGTAGTGAACTGACAATGTTGCCTCTACTGCACTAAAATCTCAGCAGCGTTATCAGCCCTGTCCACTTATCTTCTATGGACTGCAGAGCATCTCCCTCTTGTATTATGGAGATTAGGACAAGGGGGGGGGGGGGGGGGGGGGGTTATTGCTTTTTTTT